AACTCTGACAACGAATATGTCAGAGAGTTACAACAATGTCCTCAAAGGTGTTAGGTTCCTGCCCTGCAGAGCGTTGGTACATGCCACATTGAACAAGACTCTGGATTTGTTTGAACAAGAACAAAAGAAGTCCAGAGAATGCAGGACTCCCATTCCTACCGACCTCTATGCCGCCTATCGAAAGTTGGAAAAGACGGCGGTGACTCACGAGGTGCTTTGTGTGGACGCCGATGGATCCCAGTACATGGTGACAACCGGTCTACGCGCCAATGGAAGAGGGCAAAACAGGTATGTATTTTATAATTGTATTTTTTTTTTCCATTCAAATGAGTTTATTAATTTTCTAATTTATATATATAAATCATTGTTGAAAATAGGTTTAAGGTCTTTTATGAGCAGCAGCGTTGTGCATGTAGGAAGTGGCAGACACATCGAAAACCATGCTCTCATGCAATTCGAGTGTGTCGTCAGCGGGGTGATCAACCGGTGTCGTTGTATAATCCCTACTTTTGGACGGAGAACTGGGTTAATCAATTTTCTAATTGGAATTTTACTCCAGTTGGAAATCCTGACACGTGGCCGCAGGTGGGATGGAATTTGATTCCGCATTGGGAGAGGATCATCTCGAAGCCTGGACCCGGTCGCGCCCAAACTAGACGCTTTAAAATGCAAATGGATCGTTGGGCGCGCCGCAGAAGGGGCCGGGGTCAATGCAGTAGATGTGGTGATCCCTTACATTTCGCTGACCATTGCCCGTATTCGCATCCTCCCATCGATCGAACTAGACTCCGCGATGATTGGGGGAACTAAATTTTTTTAGATGAATATTTTGTATTTGGATGATTTTGTAATTGGATGATTTTGTATTTCGACGATTTTGTATTTGGATGATTTTGAATTTGGATGATTTATATAATGTATCGAACTCGAATTAGTGAAATTGAACTCGAATTAATGATATCGAACTCGAATAAGTACAATTAAAGTCAAATTAGTACAATTAAAGTCAAATTGTAATGAAATCGAACTCGAATTAGTACAATTAAAGTCAATTATAATGAAATCAAACTCGAATTAGTGAAATCGAACTCGAATTAATGCAATTAAAGTCAAATTAGTACAATTAAAGTCAAATTGTAATGAAATCGAACTCGAATTAGTACAATTAAAGTCAATTATAATGAAATCGAACTCGAATTAGTAAAATCGAACTCGAATTAGTGAAATCGAACTCGAATTAGTAAATTCGAACTCGAATTAGTGAAATCGAACTCGAATTAGTACAATTAAAGTCAAATTAGTACAATTAAAGTCAAATTAGTACAATTAAAGTCAAATTGTAATGAAATCGAACTCGAATTAGTACAATTAAAGTCAATTATAATGAAATCGAACTCGAATTAGTAAAATCGAACTCGAATTAGTGAAATCGAACTCGAATTAGTAAATTCGAACTCGAATTAGTGAAATCGAACTCGAATTAGTACAATTAAAGTCTAATTAGTACTATTAAAGTCAAATTAGTACAATTAAAGTCAAATTAGTACAATTAACGTCAAATTAGTACAATTAAAGTCAATTGTAATGAAATCGAACTCGAATTAGTGAAATCGAACTCGAATTAGTACAATTAAAGTCAAATTAGTACAATTAAAGTCAAATTAGTACAAATCGAACTCGAATTAGTACAATTAAAGTCAAATTTGATGAAATCGAACTCGAATTAGTAAAATCGAACTCGAATTAGTGAAATCGAACTCGAATTAGTAAATTCGAACTCGAATTAGTC